GTGTTGCGCTATTGCGTGGACAACAACACGCTTCGAACAATGCTGCGCTACCGCTGGGGCCAAGGCAGCCGGGACCTCGACTCAGTCCCGGACGACGAACTCTACGCGTTCTTCAAGACCGACTGCGAGCGCGTGAAGACCAACGTTGCGGACTTCTTTGCGCGTGTGCGTCGGGAACTTCGGTGCGACTGTCGTAAGGCTCCGCGGCTCGCCAACCTGGCCGCTCCTTACAAATCAAATAGGGATGTGATTGACTTTACTACTGCCTGGGCAGGACTGCTCGGGCGTCGCTACACTCGTTGACCGTCGATTGGCTCGTTTGGTGTTTCATCAACTGGCTCGCCTTGGTGCGCCGGGCTCCGACAAGTGCGTGCTCAGCTCTCGTACTTGACCGGGGTGCGATCTTTCGAAGGCCATTTCCGAGCCTCACGACAGTGCCCACGTCAGTTGAACCTTCGACCGACGACCATCGGAGGCTCCACACTTGGATCGGCCCTTCGACCCAGGCACGTATCGTACGACAAGGCGACATGGACGACACCGAGATGCCCGGCTACAGCAACAAACGTCGTGCCACCGGACACGCGACGAGAGCGCCGTCCACGAGTTCCGATGAGTTCATGGCGTCGATCACCGACCGGCTTTTCAAGCTTGAAGCCGCCCTCGCGGCGACAACGATCTCCGACCCGAAAGCATGCGCGTCGACCGACACGGCGGCTGGACGCCCATGTAGTTTGACGCGAGACACTTGCAAGTGGCGCGCCGCCGGTCACCACACGGACGTGACACGTACGAAGCGCGCCGCCGAGGTCAAGTTCTGTAACAAGTACTTGGCGCGGCAAGGGCGCAACTGTCGTAACCTGGCGGGTCCTGAATCGGCCCGGTGCTACCGTCACCCGGAGACAGCCCAGCCCGGGCAGTAGTGGTCACAAGCCCGTCGCTGCCTTACGGGCCCGCTGGTGCGGACCCGTCCGTGGCATCGGCGGGCGGAGACTCTTCGTAAGTCTCATCAACATGATCAGCTTGATTCTTGAAGGCAGCGATCAGGCTTGGGTCGACGTCTCGAGACAGGACCCAGCGTGTGTCCCCGTCGTCACACTTGACCTTCCATTCATGGACGACGCGCTTCCACCGGTCCAGCTTCCGACGGCGACGATGTTGGACAACCTCGATGGCACGCCAGTTGTGGCGGGCGTTGCGTACAGGCGTGGCGCGATCGAAGAGCGGAGCAAGCTCTTCGTCCCACGCAGTTCCGGATCCGTCGACATCTTCCGCGTCCTCTTCGACCGTGTTGTCCGCGGCGGAGACGAACGGACGCAGCCGCGTGGCGTGTATCGCAGACTTGAGCACGCCTCCGGTGGGCAGGCCGACTCGGTACGTGAAGCCGTTGCGCGAGAGAACGAGCAGTGGCCCCTTCCGCTGCATCCGGAGTTTGCCTGGGAGATTGGCGTCACTTGGGCTGCCGGCAATCGGTACGAGGAGCCACACCTTGGACCCCACGGCAAATTCACCGGACCGGTATCCTCCCCGAGCGAGCCACGCCGCGTTCTTGGTGTCAATCGCGGCACGGTTTCGCTCGATAGCGGCCTCGTTCGCTCGCCGCACGTCGTCGTTGATGCGCACCATTTCGGGCAGCAGTTGCTCGACAAACTCAGCGCAGTCTTCGTACGCCGGGTCCTTGGCCCGTCTCATCATGCGCTCGGTCGGAGTGAACGGTTCTCGCCCGAAAAAGGCAAAGAACGGCGAGTAGCCCGTGGCGGTGTGGATGGCTCGGTTGTACGCAGTCGTCACGGCCGGGAGGTGCTCGTCCCAATCCCCGTGATGTTCGTCGAGGAGGCAGCGCAACCGTTCCTTCAACACGCGGTTGACGCGCTCGACGATCGCGTTGGCTTGCGGCCGGTACGCAGTCGTCGGGCAATGTTTGACGTTGTGCATCTCATAGAGACACTGGATCACCGACCCGAGGAACGCGAGGCCACGATCCGACACGAGAGCCCGCGGGGCGCCGAACGGCTGGAAGATGAAATCGTGGAGCACGTACGCGGCGGTCGCCGCCGACTTGTCCTGCACCGCGATGCACCAAATGTGTCGGGTGAACAGGTCCGTGACCACGAGGATGTACTTGTTCCCCTTCGTCGTCGGGTGGCCCGGAAAGTCAGCGTGGTCGACCGAAAGAGTGTCCATCGGCGCATATCCCATGCGTGGTCGCCCACTTGGTGCGTGCACGCCGTGTCGCGCGTGCTTGGAGGCTTGGCATCGCACGCACGCTCGCACGAACCGCTCAACGTCCACGTACATGCCCGGCCAGAAACCGACGGCCGTGAGCTTGTCGTAGGTCTCCGAGACGCCACCATGCGACTCGCCCGTCCCGGCGTGGGCTTCCCCGACCATGTCCGAACGCAACGGCCCGGGGATGACGCTGACGGGCCGTCCCTCGGCGTGTCCCCGTCGGTAGGCGCTCTTGCGGACAATCTTGCAGAGCACCCCGTCGACCATGGCATATTCGCGCACATCTTGTCGTTTGTATGTCGGTGGCGCTGTCGCCTCGCCTTCCTCGAGTGCCTTGATCATCTCGGCCATCCATGGAGTGCCTTCCTGCCCCGACCGCAGGCGGCGGCGTCGTGCTTGCTCCATCGGGTTGGCCTCAGCGTCCTGCGCGTCCACGGCGGACACCACTGTGGGACAGTGGTAGGGTTCGACAGCGGCCCATGGGACGACCGTCGTTGTCGAGCGCATCCATGCCTCGACCTCGTCCGTGCTGATCGGCCGACCGTGCGAGATGTTGTTGTCTTGTCGCGGCGGTCGGTCGAGCGCAAGGTTCGTGACGTAGTCCGCCACTTGGTTGTACTCCCGAGGTATGTGGTGCACAACCCATGCGTCGAACAGCCCGAGTCGTCGCTGGATGCTGGCCACCCTCTTGCGTAGCACTTCGTCTTTGGGCGAATACACGCGGTGCACCAGCTTGCAGAGCAACTCGGAGTCACAGAAAGCTACGAGAGTCCGGGCGCCGAGTTCCCAGGCCGCGTCGACGGCCGCTTCGAGACCAGCGGCTTCTTGTTGGTTCACGGTCACGGCGCCTTCGTCGCGGCGCCCTCCCACCCGGACCAGTCGAGTGCCGTCGGCCGTCCAGACGCAGTACCCAAAGCCGCTGATGAGGTGCCCACGATTGGCGCCATCGCTGGACACAATGGCGGCGGGGGAGTCCATGTTTGGCCAAGCGAACGGCACCTCCCGACGCGCGTGGACATAGTCGTCCATCGGAGCACGTCCCAGTAAAAGCTCGGCCGGGTAGTGCTGGCGCTGCTTCGTTACTTGCACGTCGAGCTGCAGAGTCGACAGCTCAAATTGCCACTTGTCGAGGCGGCCAAATGGCATCAAGTGGTTGATCGCCCAGGCTAGGTTGCGTTCCGTCGTGAAGACGCGCGTGGGCACCGAGTGAAAGAAATGCCTCCACTGTCGCACCCCGAGTCGTACAGCGAGCATCGCCTTCTCGACGCGCGTGTAACGCAGCTCGTGATCGTCGAGGCAGGCGCTCGCAAAGCCAAGTGGTCGCTCTGCGCCGTCGACCGTCTGCGAGAGCACGCACCCAATCGCTGAAAAGTCCGAGGCGATCGTGAGGTTGAACGGCTGCGTCTCGTCGGGGGTGTGCAGCGCCGTGATGTCATTAATGAGCGTGATGACGTCCTGGAGTGCTCGCTCGCCGATGGAACCCAGCTCAAACGGGCCCTGGGCATTGACCATTGCAAACAAGGGAGCCGCCGCCGTCGCGAAGCCTGGAGCGAAACGTCGGTAGTAGCTTGCCCGCCCGAGGAACTCGCGGAGCGCGTCCGCACTGTCGATCGCCGGCGTCTCCACGATTCGGCGGACGAGGGCTCCCTTCGGGCGGATCACCCCATCACCTTCGAGGATGTGTCCGAGATATTCGACTCGGTCGGCGTTCCAGATGCACTTCTCACGGCGTAGCGTCCAGCCGCCCGCGGCCATGAGTCCGAGTGCGATCTCAACGTGCTCTTGGTGGTCGGCCGGGTCGAGCGAATGGACCAGCACGTCGTCCACATACACTTCGATGAAGATGCCGAGATATTCGTCCAGCGTCGCGACCATGAACGATTGCATCGCTCCCGCCGAGTTGACGCCGCCCATGAGCATGCCTGTCGGTACGAACGTCCCATCTTCCGTGACGAAGGCGAACTTCTCTCCTTCACCTTCCGCAAACCGCACTTGCCAGAACGACGACGCCGAGTCGAAAAGAGTGAACCGCTTCGAGTTGGCCACCCTGGCCAAGATGTCGTTGATCCGCGGGATTGACGACGAGACGACAACGGTCTGCTTGTTGACTTCGCGCAGGTCGTTCACAAGCCGCCATTGGCTCGGGTCGTTAAGGTCAGCGTTGGTCCCCTTCGGTCGTAGGAACGCGGGGTGTGCCCACGTACTATTTTCGACTCGGACGACGAGGCCGTCACGCTCCATTTGCCGGATGATCTCGCGGATGATCGCACGCTTCCTTGGCGACATCGGATAGAACGGCAGCTTGATGGGCTCTCCTCGGACGTCGACACGATGCTGGAAGTGCGGCGTCTGCCGCACAGGTTCCCCCTTCCGAGCAAACATGTCCTGGTGCACCTCCCACAGGTCGCGAACCCACTGTACGTGGTCGCCAACTGGGTACGGGATCTCCTCTTCGTCTTCCTCTTGCTCCACCGCGAGCAGCCGCGCGTCACCGTCCGAGTCTTCTGCGGCGTCTTCGTTTCTGGACGTAGTGAGCACGAGGCGGTCCCGCAGTGCGATCATCGAGACACCGTGAGTCAGAATGTAGTCCAGGCCCAGAATGCCGTGGTGCGAGAGTCCCGCGCAAACCACGAACGGGTGCTGCACCGTGGACTCACCCACCGTGGTCGAGATCACGCACTTGCCCAGGACTTGCATTGGCGCGCCGCCTGCTCCCTTGAGGGTGCGCTGGAACGGCTGTAGTGGCGGGCATCCGCAGCGCCACCACTGGTCTTCATCGAGGACGGACACCATCGCTCCCGTGTCGAACAGAAGCGTGGCTCCGGCGTCTTCGAGCGTAGCCGGCACGAGTAGCTGTGGGCATCCAGACGCTAGTAATTCTTGTCGCTCGAAGTGTACGAGGCCCACCTCCGCGGGCGTATCGCGGCCCACGGCTACGAGTCGGCCATCGTCTGCGCTCGTTTCCCATCGGCGGTAGTGGGAAGCCCATCGTCGCACGTCCTTGCCGACCGCCGTCGGGTCCGGGAACATGAGCACGGCTCGACGAGACGCCCCTGGTGTCTGGACGTCTTGCGACCCTTGACCGTCGTCCCAGGCCTGTCCGGGGAGCTCGTCATCCCCGACAGCGAGTGCGCTCTGGCCCGGCTCGGCGTCTTCTTCCGTCATTCCCGCGCCTTCCTGGTCGCGGTCGTCTTCTTCCGTCATCCCCGCGCCTTCCTGGTCGCGGTCTTCCTCTTCCATCATCCCCGCGCCTTCCCGGTCGCGGTCTTCCTCTTCCATCATCCCCGCGCCTTCCTGGTCGCGGTCTTCTTCTTCCATCCTCCCCGCGCCTTCCTGGTCGCGGTCTTGTCGTCCTTCTCCATCCTCCCCAATCTGTCCCGCCGTTGCTGCGGAAACAGAGTCGAGATGTGTGGAGAGCTCAAACGCCAAAGTCGTGTTTTGTTTAACGGCGCGGGTCGTGGCCGTCAACACGTCTTTGTGAGCTCCCTCGTGTCTGCCGATCGGCGGCTTCGCTCTTAGCCCCGATCCGACCGAAAATCCGGCTCCTCTTCGGCGACGGCCGCAACTTCTGCGGTGTTGGGGACCGATTGGCTCGGCGTATTCGGTCGCAAGTCGGCAAGACAGGCACGCACGGTGGCCGCGATCGCGAGTTCGAGGTCTTTCATCGACAGGCCGGGCGGGCTCGCTGCGGCACGAGCGTCGTCTTCCGCCCGCTTCTTAGGACACTCGAAGCGCCGGTGGCCCGTTTTGAAGCAGTGGTAACATGTCCACGGCCTCGGCGCAGCTGGGCTCGCCCCACCGACGGCAGCGGCCATCACGTTCACATGCGTTGGGGCGCTCGCGGCGGAGTCGTCGATCCATCCTTGGTTCCCCTCGTCGATCGAATGCACGAGGCGTGGGTTTCCTCGAGCACGTGGGGCGATGGTCGGGGGACGTGCCGCTCGAGTGTACGGGCCCGGGTCGAGGCGACTCATCGCGAGGCGCACGCCCCGCTTGAAGGTCTCCCACTGCCCGTCGTTGGGGAGGCCGACAATGGCGCCCTTCACCGCGTGGTCTCTCATGCCCCTGATGGCCTTCTCGATGACGCGGCTCTCGTCTTGGTCCCGGCCCGTGAGGCGTGCGAGGGCCATGACGCGATCCAGGTAGTCGTCGAGGCGCTCGAGCCCGTCGCCCTCGTCTTCTTGCTGTACTGCGTCGAAGAGGGAGTCGATCTGCTCGCGGGTCCCGATGAAGCGTTCGTAGAAAGCCTCGACGAACTCGGTCCATTGGTCGTCCTTCAAGTTGGTCCGATCCCACTTGGACTGGTCGAAAACTTGATTGGCCCAGTTGTACTCGGCCGGTCCGAGCGAGTCAAAGAGGAGGACGCTGCGGTGGTGTGCCGTGTTGATCGTTCGCTCGGCGAGGTTGTTCACATGGCGGATGTACGACGCTGCCGCCACACCGCCCGCCCCGTTGAACTTGGGCACTCGCTCTGGCCGATACGCGGCCAGTGCGGGCGTCGTCGGGTTGGACTTGGCGTCGATGCCCTGGAGTACGACCGTAGCAGCGTTCGTGCAGGCGACCGTGTGCTGGAGCTGTTTCTGTATCATGGCCATCATGTCCTTGCTGTCTTGGCGTTCCATTGCCGCTTGCTCCTTCATCTCGTCCATCTGGCCGGCTTGCTTGTCCAGGATCGTCGCGAGGGTGTCTTGGTACTGCGTCATGCTGTTGCGCCGTCTCATGGGGAGATGGAGGGCCGGCTGGGCGGCCGGGTCGATCCCGATGGTTTGGATCT